CAGCCCAAGTGAAAAGGAGAATCAGTTTTGAAGGTTACAGCCTGTTTCCTTGGCTCCGGCAGTAAGAATTCCCAAAGGCGGCAGCTTCCGGAGTTTCCATAGTGGAGTCTGGATGACTAAGTCCCCAGCATGCCCCCTGGCCCAGACTTGCTTCCCTGTGACTCAGAGCTCTCCCTGTCAGGAGCTCTCCTGGTGACCTGAGCCAGGCCCTGAGAACCAAGTTCAGTGCTGAGGGAGGCTCAAGGCCACAATCTAGAAGAGGAGAAAGAAGGAGAAAAGCAGAAGGAAGCCAGGTTCTACTTTTTTTTGTACAGGGATCTGAACTCAGGACCTTACCTTTGCCAGACAGGTGCTGTACTACTACTAAACCATGGCCCCGTCCTGAAGTTTTTTGAGTGTGTGTGTGTGTGTGTGTGTGTGTGTGTGTGTGGTGTGTTTAATCTTTCGGGAGGTCATGATGGGATCTAGCCATGACCCCAGACTACCGGTGTACAGTAGATTTTGAGATCAATGAATAGGGCTGGGGATTTAGCTCAGCGGCATAAGCGCCTGCCTTGCAAGCAGGCAGTCATGAGTTCAATCCCTGGTACTGATTAAAAAAAAAAAAAAAAAGAGATCAATGAATATACTGTGTCTGTGATTTTTATATCATCACACAGGAGGCTGCAGGGCAGGGAAAACTGCCTGCCTAGTAGGCATTCAGCCCCGTGTTTAAACAGGCACATTAATAAAGTAAAAAGAAACCAGCAAATTTAATTTAATTTGAATAATGCATTTTAATATAAAATCTATTCCCATCACAGGTCCTTGGGTGGTTGAGACAAGAGGGACATTTGGGGACAGCCTGGGCAATTTAATTTAATGAGACTCTATTTCTTTCTTGTTTTCTTCCTTTATTTTCTCCTTGGGGTTTTTGAGGGTCTTACTATGGTAGGCCATGCCGGGCTTGAACTCACTGCAAACCTTGAATTCCCAGCAAATCTTTTGCCTCAGCCTTTCGAGTGCTGGGATCACAGGAGTGTCGCCCTGCCCTTCATGCCTGGTTTAGGAGACCTTCTTTCAAAATGGGGGTTTAAGCTGGGCGTGGTGGCTCAGGCCTGTAATCCCAGCACTCAGGAGGCTGAGGCAGGAGGATTGATGCGAGTTCGAGATCAGCCTAGGCTACAAAGTGAGCTAAAGGCCAGCCTGAACTGCATTGCAAGACCCTGTCTCAAAAAGACAAAAAAAAAAAAAAAAAAAAAAAAGGGGGGGGGAGTTAGCTCAGCGGCACAAGCGCCTGCCTGGCAAGCTCCAGGTCCTAAGTTCGGTCCTTGGTAGAATAAAAAAAGAATCAATGAAAATGGTTGGGGATGTAGCTAAGCGCTTCCTCAGTTCAATTCCTAGGATCGAAAAAAATAATTTTAAGCCGGGCTTGGTGGGGTCACGCCTGTCATCTCAGTACTCAGGAGGCAGGAGGATCCTTGCAAGTTTGAGACCAGCCTGGGGTTACAAAGTGAGCTCAAGAGCAGCCTGAACTGCATAGTGAAACCCTGTCTCAAAAAGAGCAATATATAGATACAATTTCAAGATGTAACCAAACATAAAAAGATTTGCAGTAACTTTTCTGCTTGCATCTTTTTACCCCGCGTCTGACACTGGCAGCACTGTCCTGTATCTGACCCGAAGTGATGCATCTGACACCGGAAGCGCTCTCAGTTCCGCCCTCGGCATCCTAGGCTCGGGCCACACAGCCGTGACCACGCCGGAAGACGCCCAGAGACACCCGGGCCCTCGGCCTGGAGGCCGGCCAGGGTGGGCAGGAGGGCGGCAGAAAGACAGTGGCGACACCTCCAGAACGGGGCTGGGCTCAGGGTGTAGGCTGAGGTTCCAGGAAGCCTGACGTCACTTCTTTTCTTCCGTTTACGTTCACTTATGACAGGCGCAGTCTGGCCCCCGATCCTCTCCGCCGCTCCCCAGCGCCGCGGCGCGGTCCGCCTCGCAACTCTCGCAGCCTCAAAACCAGCCTGGCGGACGCTGCCCTTCCTGTCACTCAACTTCATGCCCCGCCCCCCGGAGAGTAATCACAGCTTCCCTCGGTTTCCACAGAGACGCTTCAGCGGGGCGGGGCAAAGGAGTCGGAGGAGCCGAAGTTCCCTTTTGATTGGTGGTTGGTCAAGCCCCTTCTTTTAGTCCCTCCTACTTTAGCCCCGCCCCCTCAGTGGGTCTCCTAAGGTGATTGGTCAGTCCTGTGGTGCGAGCCGCAAGCCTACGGTCATGTCCGCCCTTTGGGGAGGGGCGGCGGGTGGGCACTTCCAGCGCCGATTGGCCATCTGGGCGCGCGGAGTTGGGAAGGGCGGGGCGGAGGCAGAGCGCAGTTAGTCTAGAGCGTCTGTCTCTAGCGCGTGGAGCTGTCCTGTGCCGTGTCGCGCCGCGGGTAGCCGGCGGCAGGTGGAGCCAGAACCATGAAGCACTATGAGGTAAGAAACGAGAAACAGCGTCCCAGCAGCCACCGCTTTGCTATTCGATTTTCTTTGCGGGACTATACGACTCCCCCCACTCCGCCCCTTGCCGGGTCTAGTTCTCCTAAGGGAGAGCCGGATGGCGCAGGCGCAGTGGACTCATGCGGCGCTCCTGAGCCACTCGTAAAATCCAGTGCGCAGGCGCCGAGGAGGTATTTATATCTCTGCAACCCAGGCTGTTTTGGGGGTGCCTTTTCTTGGGGTCTCTACAGGGCCTGGGGAAAGCGCACAGGTTGCTTGCAGCTTTGCCAACGGGGTGATTTGCATCCTCCCAACCCGTGCCTCGGATCCGAGGGAGTCTTGCACACATCTTGCTCCTGCTACCTCCTCGGCTGGCCCTGCAGTCGGTTCTCTCCCGTGACCTTTGCACCCCATCCGCGCGCGGACGCTCTCTGAGCAGCTCGGCGGGGGAGACGCAGCACTGCGCCTAATCGCCATGGCCAAATCTTACGCCACAGTCGCTGTTGAAGTCCAAGCCTAACTTGTCTGTTTTTCCCTTAAAACGAAATCTTCTCTTGTGGCTACCGATTGACTGTATTAATATTAATAATTCAGCTGTTGGTGACTCAGTCACTATCAAAGTAAATATATTAACCTGCCTAAGAAGAGCAGTTTAGCGGTTGTTCTTGTGCAATCAATAATCTGTCACCTTATTTTCATCCTCAGGCCCCCTGGCCCCTGAGATAGGACATAATTACCATGCCCGTGGATTAGGTGAAGAAGGTCTTGGAGATGACAAGTGTCTTTTCCAAAGGTCCCCAGCCAGGCGGTTGGGAACAGAGAGAGGGAACTAGCTCTCCAAAGTCAGAAGTTTTAGCCAGCTCGCCGTGCAGATTCTTAAATGAAAGCTAGGCAGTTGAGGCATTTTATGATTTCTTGTTTCCTCCTCTTCCCGGATTTTTAAAATAGAGATGAAAGACACACCAGGCTTGTCCTCTGGAGCATTTTGAAGTTCAGTGATGTTAGGTACCTTCCGTGTTGGGCAGCCCCCGCCACACCCATCTGCAAAACTTCTTTCTGTCTCTCTCTCTTTTTTTTTTTTTTTTTTCCTTTTTATCGGTACCGGGGATCGAACTCACGACTGCCTGCTTGCAAGGTAGGCGCTTATGCCGCTGAGCTAAATCCCCAGCCCCTGAAACTTCTTTCTCTTGCACCCAGTTCACAGTGACCGCTCCCACTGGCCCCCGGCCCCTGGCAAGCACCTTTTTACCGCCGTAGGATCAGACCGCACTGGGGACCTCTAAGGGAGAGGAAGCTGAGTTTTGCTGGTTAGGAATTAGCTCAAGCAGGCTTCGGAGGGTGGAGGCACAGCTTCAGGCCTGCGGCTTGGCCTGGAGAACTCGCTATACCTAAGTTAAACTTTTGGGGTAACCTCAGCAGGGCTGGGGCCGCAACTTGGTGGCCCAACACTTGCAGAAACTGAATGCAGACCAGGACCACAGTGACCTTGGGGAGAAACAATGGGCTGATTTATGTGGTTTTTGTTATCATCCTCTCGGCTGGGCGCCAGATACTCACAAGGGGAGCTCAGGGAGTGGTGTGATGGGAGGAGTCGTCTTCTGGCCCAGTGTGCCCAGCAAGCAGGTTAAGTTTGCTCCAGGGGCTTAGGGACATGCCAGTCAAAACAGCAGAGACACTTTAACTCACATTTATACCTGGTTGGTTAGGAAACTGTGTTAGTTGATTGCATGCAAGTTTTCCTGTTAGGGACGGGCTCATCCTTTGCCTTCAAGCACTGAGAGGTTGGTTTACCTCTCCAGCCCGGTTGTTTTGGATTTTTTTTTTTTTTTTTTAAAGACGGGTCTTGCTGTGTAGTTCATGCTGGCTTTGAACTCTCTGTCCTTAAACGTGGAGTGATCCTCTTGCATCAGCCTCCCGATCACTGAGATGACAGGCAGGCACCACCATTCCCAGGCCATAGACCAGGTTCCTTGTGAGCCTTGGCTGGAGCCAGCCCCTTGGAAGGCCAGAGTAGGCTTTGGGATTATCTTGGGGTCACTGCAAGGTCGGTCTTGAGAGAACTGCTTGTCCTGGGCTACCGTGGCCTTTTATTTTTTTTTTCCATCGCTGTCCTGCGCCTCTGCAGATGAGAGGGGAAGTGATGATCCTGGGAGCAGCTGGAGAAACAGCCGCAGTATCTTGTAAATGAGCCTGTGAATTCCTAGGAAATCAATCTGCTGGCAGTCAACAGGCACCCAGGCTATGGCCCCTGCCATGAGAACCTGGACGTTCTGACTGGGGATCAGCGTCTCCCCGCAGGGAGCCTGCCCTCTCCTCCCTGCTCCCTTCCTGTCTCATTCTGGGGTTTGAACCCAGAGCCTCTGCCCTGACTGACTGCCTCCTCAGGCCTGCGTTTCTGTTTTGTTTTATTTTATTTTGACACAAGGTCTCACTAAGCACTACGTTGTCTAGGCTGGGCTGGAATTTGTAATCCTGCTACCTCAGCCTCCCAGAGTATAGGCAAATGCCACCCACCAAGCCTGGCATGAGTAGCTCTTTAGATTCGCATCTTTTTTTTTTTTTTTTTTGGTATCAGAAATCGAACTCGGGGCCTTGTCCTTGCCAGGCTTGTTGGTTTCCATCTTGTGAGCAGTTTTTGATGGGTTCATCATCTTATTTTTTTGGCAAGTTCCTGCATCAACTTTCATAAGGATGAAAGTTCTTTTTGTTTGTTTGTTTTGAGACAAGGTCTTCCTGCATGGTCCAGGCTGCCTTGAATTTGAGGTGATCCACCTGCCTCGGCCTCCTGAATTCTGGGATAACAGGCGTGGTACCACTATGCCCAGTTCTGGAAGCAGGCTCCTGGTCTAGAAGCAACCGTTTGGTGTGAGAACTGGGTAGGAGGGGGACAGTGGAGGAGAAAGGAGACCTGTGGGTCATGGTGTCATGGGTGTGTGTACCTTGGGTAGGACCAGGGCCCAATCCTGGCCCTGTCACTACCTCTGGCTAGATTAGGTATCCTCCCTGAGCCTGTCTACGTCGCTCCTTGGAGGTGAAAGCCACCAAATATCCAAGTTATAGAAGATTCCCTAGATTTTAAAAACCTACCAGGCACAGTGGCGCACACCTATCTGTAATCTCATTATTAGGAGGCTGAGGCAGGAGGATCATTGTGAGACGGAGCACAGCCCACACACAACAACAACAACAGACAAACAGGCAGCCGGGCATGGCAGCGTCAGCCTGTAACCCTAGCACTGGGGAGGCTGAGGCAGGAGGATTGGCACAAGTTGGAGCCAGCCTGGGCTCCCCAGTGAGACCTGGTCTCAAAAACCAAAAACCTGTCAAGGGGGTTTCTGTGTATGGTTTATGGTGGACCTGTGAGGGCTTTCGGTGACAGCCCCCCTGGACTGCAGGTGGGCGCTGCAGCACCTGGATTCCTGGTGCCTGTTGCCCCCGGCAGGTGTCACACCTGGAGGTTGAGGACCGATTCTCTGTCGTACTTTCCTGCACTCTGCACTGCACAGAGCTTGGGAAAATGCTGTACGGTGCATTTGGACACAGGATGGGCCCTGGTACAAGTCCTCCTCCTCCTGTGGTCGCTTTTCCTTCTTTTTGGGGGGACTGGGTGGGGATGGAACCCAGGGTTCTATCACTGAGCCACCCCCTTTTCTCTTTAGAGTAGAAGGGACAGACCATGGTTTGGATTATTCTTTTTTTTCTTTCTTTGGCTCTGGGAATCGAACTCACGACCTTGGACCTTGGGCTTGCCTGAGCTGCGTCCCCGCCCAATTGCATCCTCCTGAGGATCCCAAGAGCTGCTTTTTGAACCCCTGTTTTGTAAAGAAGGCAGCTGGAACTCAGAGAGACAAGGACCTTGCCTGAGGCCACATCCTGGCTGAGGAAGGCCCAGACCTAGGTGGCCCACTCCGGGGAAGGACCAGTCCCACACAGCGGGGGTGTTGTGAGCGGTGGCTGCTGGCGTCGGTTCCATCCATTTATATTCTTTCATTCATTCACTCTTCTGGGGACTGAACCGAGGGCCTTTGCACTGAGCTACATTCCCAGTCCTTTAGAAAATTCTTAAAAAATATTTTATGTTGAGACAGGATCTCAGGGAGTCACTTCTGCTGCCCAGGCAGGCTTTGCTTTCTTTCTGCCTCAGCCTCCCAGAGTGCTGGGATTCAGGTCCTGGTCCTGTAGCGGCACAGCCCAGGTCCCTGGAGCACGTGGTGGGGGAGGGTGGGTATTTGTGTCCCTTTTGCTTTCCAGGCGAGGACCGCACAGGGCACCGGGTGCGTTCACTGCGCCTCACAGCCTGACAGCAGAGCTGGTCTGGGCTCGGGTTTGTCCTGCCACCTCCTTTGTCAGAGGTGCTCCTGTCCCTGGAACGCTGGGGCTGGGGACAGAGGGGGAGGACGGCGGCTGCCAGAGTGTCTGTGTCCTAGAGTGGACTCTGCTTCGGCGAGCCATTCAGTGCACGTGAGGTAAGGTTGGGACCAGCTAGCCACGAAAGTGTACTGGATTTTTTTTTGAGACCGAGTCTCACTATGTAGCCCAGGCTGGCCTCGAATTCTTTTTTTTTTGGCGGTACTGGGATCGAACTCACAGCCGTGTGCTTGCAAGGCAGACGCTTATGCTGCTGAGCTAAATCCCCAGCCCTGGCCTCGAATTCTTGGCGATCCTCCTGCCTCAGACTCCTGAGTGCCGGGCTTAGGACTGCACCACTTTGCCTGTTGTTTTTTTTTTTTAAGGCACCTACTGTTGTTATTTTTTCAAATCCATTTTATTTCAAAGAGAAAAAAGCAAAAACAAAATTTCAAAACATCATGGGCAACAATGGTACATACATTGTGCACTGGATCTGTTTTACAGAACAGTTGCAGTGTGCAGACCCTGTGCAATTTTAATGTCAAAAAAAAAAAAATAAGGGTGAGGATGTAGCTCAGTGGTGGGTGAGGGCAATCCCTGGGCTCGATCCCTGGTGCTGCAATACACGCGCAAAACAAAACAGAGTGTGCACACGCTTGACAGACAGGGGCTCCTTGTGTTTCCCCGCTGAGCTAAACTCCTGTGTTCACATGATTCCTCCGCCTCAGCTTCCTGAGAAGCTGACGCCTCAGCTCTGTCCCATGCGGCCCAGGCACTCAGGGAAGGTGGAGAGCTTCTTTTCGGCTTTCTGAGACACAGAGTCTTGCTGTGCAGTACAGGGTGGCCTTCACCTGTGCTCCAGTGATTCTCCTGTCTCAGCCTCCCTGGGGCTGGGATTGCAGCCTGCGGTGCTATGCCCTGGTAAAGTGGTGAGCTCTGTCACCTTCCCAGAGCCCACCTTGGCCATGCCCCAGCCCTGGGTCCCTGGGCTTTCCCGTGCAGTGTGTGACACTCACTGCACAGAGCCTGGTGCTCTGCCACTGCCAAGGCTCAGGCTGCATCCTCACTTCCCATGCCACCCCAGGTCTCCAGCTCTCCAGGGACATTTGGATGGTTCGGGCCCCTCTTGCACATGGAGCAGCCCCGCCCATGGGGATCTTGTTCCCCTACCAGGGTCAGCCCTCTGTGGTGCGCCTGCCAGCTGGCCAGTAATATTTTTGGGGCCACCTAGTGGCACACACTGCACACCTTACAGAGACGAGTTCCAGTCACTGACCTGTTACAAGATGGGTGGGACCTGGAGATGAGCAGGGGGCTGGGGGTGGGAGGAAGCAGGGAGCCACCCAGGGCTGGGGCTCAAGCTCCTTGCATCCTCTGGGCTCGCCAGTCCCTGAGGAGAGAGAAAGAGCGGTCAGACAGCCCTGAGGCACCCCACTAGGGAGAGATTTGTGGTCGCGATCAAATTGTCTTTTTTTTTGTCTTTTTGAGACAGTCTCGCTATGCAGTTCAAGCTGGCCTTGAGCTCAGTTCAGCCCATCTGGCCTTGAGCTCACAGGATTCTCCTGCCTCAGCCTCCTGAGTACTGGGATGACGGGCACACCACCAAGCCCAGGCTGTTCTCCTTTTTTTGACTGATGGAGAAACTGAGGCACAGGTTGGCACAGTAGCCAACCCGCACCTTGGAAGTGGCAGAGCAGAATTGTGCTGCTTGCAGAGTGGGTTGCGTGTGGCAGGAGGACAGGGTGAAGTGGACAGTGTCGAGGGCCACAGCCTTTGGTCTTAATGAAACCTGCCTCAGTTTCCTCCCTGGGAGCCAGGAGACAGACACTGGGCTGGGGACAGCTGAGCACGGGGGAGACCTGCATCTCATCTCACACTGCTGCCACCTCCGGCCACCGGGACAGCACTTCCAGAACTCAGACTCCCCATCGCTGCCCAGAGCCAGCCCAGGACGTGGGTGCTCGAAGCCAGCCCTGCTCGCACCTCACTCCACGGCTCCCCTCTCCCCACCGCCGGTCCCTACCCGCCCTCCCTTGCGTTCATGCCATCTGTCCCCTGCCCTTTCCTATGAGCTCCCGGGAGCTCTTTGGTCTGCAGCAGCCCCTCCTGCCCACGGCCTGGGCCTTCACTCTGGTTTGGTTTTGTGGTACGTACCGGGGATGAGAGCCAGGTCCTGGCACCTGGGAGGCAAGTGTCCCCCCACTGCTCCCTGCAACAAGGAGGGACTCTATGCCTGGCTCCTGCCCCGGAGTAGGCTCAGGGTGACCCCCATGGGAGTGAAGGCTGGCGGGCAAGGCCCTGTACATCCGAGGGACCATGGACTTTATCTTGGGGGTGCTGAGGTTTCCTTCTCTGACAGTTCTTGAAAGTTTTAGCTGTCCAAGAGCAGCAGCGTGAAACAGATGGACTCCTGCAACAGTCCACCCCCCCCCCCCCATCAGTTGGGGACAGGCCCTGAGTGGTTCCCAGCTCCATCCGGGACAAAGGCCCTTTTCAGGTGCTCCCAGCTGCGCTGCATGAGCAGGCGGGTGCTGTCATGTCCCTGCCCCTTGCTCAGACTGGACTCTTCCTGGAGCAGAGCCTGGGGATACGAGGAAGGGGGCTCCCCGCCGGCCCCTGGGGCTCCATGGTGCAGGAACTGTGCCACGGGAAGCGGGGTGCAGGCCGAGGCTCGGTGGCAGGGAAAGCCAGTTTCCAGGTGGGCCTTTCCTAGGTAGGGGGCTACCTAGGAAGTTTTGGGGTTCGGAACAGCATTTTGGTGCTCAGAGGACAGTTTCCTGGGTTCCCAGACCCTGCGCCCCTGCCTGTGCCGCTCAGGGGCCCAGAACGAACGGGGAGACCTGGCGAAGAGTGCTGTGGGGCTGGCTGGTGGCGGCCTGTGCTGTTCGGGGAACCATCCTTAAAAAGTCTGCAGGTTCAGGTTCAGTGCAAGTGGGGTCTGTTTCCTCTTTTTGTTTTTGGTCTGGTTGGTTGAACCTGAAGATGTGGAACCCGTGACTATCCAAGGCGACGCTACCTGTGTGCGCATGCGTATGCATGCGTGTGCGTGTGCGCGTGGTCCTGGGGACGGAGCCCAGACTGCCAGGTGTGCATTCTGAATCCTACCCCGCCAGAGCGGAGTTTGACCCCCTTCCTGCCTGGGGCTGGGTGCGCAGGGCTGGGTCTGGAAGAGGCAGGTGCTGTTCTCCTTGCCTGAGAATCCTGTCATTCCGGTCCCAGCCTGAGTGTCTCCTCAGAGGGACCTTGTGGCTAATCGTGCTTTAGGTCCCTCCTCTCCCCCGCCCCATACTGGACCTTCCCACTGAGCTGCATCCCCAGGTCTTTATGTTTTGAGACAGGGCCTTACCAAGTCACTGAGTCGACCCAAATTGGGTTCAGACTTGACATTTTCCAGCCTCGGCCTCCCACCGTGCTGGGGTGACAGTGGGCCACACTGTGCCTGACATACTGTCCTTTCCTGCACAGCCCTTGGCACTATCTGCTGTGTGTGCGCACATGTTCACCTGCACACACACATGCACCTGCATGTGCGTGCACATTCACGCACACATGCGCGAGTATACGCATGCGTAGGAGCCCTGGCTCAGCCCTGCTGTCCCTGGCCCTTGCTGGTCTCAGGATGCTTCTGGAAGCAGTGACGAGGACAGGGGTACAGGTGCCTCCCAGAGAGCACAGCACAGGGTGGCACTGGCGTTCGGCCAAACAGGATTGCCCTGCTCCCCACAAAGGGACAGCATGGGGGAAGGAGGAGGAGCTCCCGTGCCCTCAGGTGCTGCTGGGCAGGGCTGGCAGCCTGGCTCAGGGGAGTAGGTCCTCTCCCAGGAAGGGGCTGCAGTGCCTCTGGTGCTACACCCCGCCCCTAGTGCTGGGAAGGGTACCCAAGATTTCTTGTACACCAGGCAGGCGCTCGGTACTCAGTTGCACCCCAGTTGGAATTTCTGTAGGACCCGCAAATCCCAAGAACACTTCTCAGTCCCCTGAGGGGGAGAGCCACAGCTGCGTCTTTGGACACCATGGAGCCAGCGAGGGCACCAGCCCAGGAATAGTGGGGGGGGGGGCACAGCCTGGGCTTAGCTGGGCGTGGAGGAGGTGCAAAGTCTGCGATCTTAGCACCTGTAGGCTGAGGTAGGAGGATTGCAAGTTTGAGGCCAGCCTGTGCTAAAGAATGAGACTTTGTCCCAAAATAAAAAAGGCTGGGGATGTAGCTCAGTGGTAGCATACCCTGCATTTGAGCCTCTGTACTGCAAACAAACAAACCAACAAATAACCCTGGACTTCTTGTTTCTCACCTCTCCTTCCTCTCCTGTGTGTCACCGCAGGGCAAAGCTGAGTTGAGCACAACTCCTGAGCCGCTGTCTCCTTAGCCTCTTCTTTCCCTGCCCTGTTCCTGCCACACACTCCAGGGCCCTGCCCCCCGTGGAGTCAGTCCCCTCACTGCTGCTTCCTCCCCCCTGGTGTGGCCTCACCTTTGCAGGGTCCCTGCACCCCTCCCATTGGGATTTTCGTTCTGTGATCACTGTGCACCTCTCAACGCCTCCCTGCCAGGGCGGCTCAGAACCTCACTGTTGCAATCAAAGTGTGACACAGTGTTACACAGCTCGCCACAATTGTTGCAGCAGACAGTGCAAAAACCCCACAGCATTTGGCACACGGGGGTGGGGATCCAAGGCATGTACACAGGTGTATTATGTACGCCGGCGGGCCTGGCCAGGTTCGCTCACCAGTCAGGCCCTATGTTTTACTTATTTTTTTGTTTTGTTTTCAAAAAAGAGTATACAGGCAAGTAGGAAGCACAGGTCCAGGCGCTTGTTGTTAATTGACTGGACCACAAGTTACCCTGAGTTTCACATTCTTTTGCATATGGCGGGGTGATGGAGGGACATGATTGGTCAGGAGGTTACAAGAAGGTATATAATTGGTCTAGAGGTTACAAGGAGCTATGTGATTGGCCAAGAGGTTGCATGCCCCTTTTATCTTATTTACATATGTCAGGGAGAGCGCTGCTTCACTCTGGGAAGACCAGAGGCTCACTGAAGGCCGAGGTTCTGGACAGGCAGCAGAGGTTTCTTTTTCGCAAGGTCCTCCAGGGAACCAGTCCAGATTGTGGTAGCTCAGTGATTTCTTTTCGCCCTAGCGTGAGACTGAGTGCTCTAGCTGCTTCATGGCTGCTCCGAAGGTCCACTGCTCCAGTCCCTGATGCCCTGGACCTGCTGGCTCTGTGCTACGCTGGGGCCTTGGCGCGGCCCCGGGAATCCCAGCAAGGTCTTTGCTTTGCTTTTGGCTTCCTTTTCTTCAGGCCCAGCTGCTCCCGTCTTACACAATAGATGTTTTGACCTTGAGCTTGAGGAGCGTGGGAGGCTGGGAGTGGGGCGCCGCCTGTGTGGTGCCAGTGCCTCCCATGGCCCTCCCCCGTGGCCCAGCTCTGCACTATCCTTCATGGGCTCTTCCTGTTGGGATTGTGCAGCACTGAGCCCAGCACCCCGAGGGCCTCTGGCTGTGTTTGCTGAGTGCATAAAGAATGGTAGTCACAGCGTGGAGCGCACAGTCCTCCCTGAGGAGGAGCTTTTGCGGGGCTCTGTGTGGTGGGCTCGTCCTGCCTGGTGAGTTTTGCAGGGCTGCTGTCACCAAGGGACCCAGGTACTAAGTCACCATGCCGGAGGTGACTCCTTGGGCCCAGATACTCCGCGTCAGCCTGGTGATGCCCATCAAGCCGCAGTGAACATCCTTTTGAATCTCAGGGGGTTGTGCTGTTAATGAAATGTTGAGCGCGGCTTCCTGAGCTAGTCAGCTGGAAGACGTGTCCAGACAGGGCTGATGTAGCCACGCACCAGCATTTCTCCCAGGGGTGTAACTCTGAAGGCTTTTGTAGCTTGGGAGTTCAGTCTGACACAACTCCCAGTCTCCATCTGCTGTGAGTCAGGCTTTTTATCGGCGACGCTGAAAAGGACGAGGCCACGTGTGGTGGGGCACACCTGTCATCCTAGCACTCAGTGGAGACTGAGGCAGAAGGAGCACTGTGAGTTCAAGGCCTGCCTGGGCTACAACCTGTCTCAGCAGCATTAACAAACTTTGCCTCCTCCTAACAGTAAGAAAACTTCGGAGATGGGTGTTCACTGGAAAAAAGGTACCTGTGTTGCTTTTGGTGAACAGCGACAACCTCCTTTTTTATTACATTATTATTATTTGTGGTAGGGGGATTGAACACAGGCCTTTATATTGAGCTGTATCTTTAGGCCCCACTCCCTGTGGGTTTTTTTTTTTTTTTTTTTTTTTTTCGTTTTTATCAGTACCAGGGATCGAACTCACGACCGCCTGCTTGCAAGGCAGATGCTTATGCCGCTGAGCTAAATCCCCAACCCTACTCCCTGTGTTTTTAATTTTTATTTTAGTTTTCATTTTTCTTTCTTTCTTTTCTTTTTTTTTTTTTTTTGAGAAAGGGTCTTGCAAAAAAAAAAAAAAAAAAAAAAGAAGAAGAAAATTAAAAGAAATAGGGGCTGGGGATTTAGCTCAGCGGCATAAGCACCTGCCTTACAAGTGTGTGGTCGTCAATTCAATCCCCGGTACTGATAAAAAAGAAAAAGACCAAAAAAAAAAATAAATATATATATATATATATAGAGAGAGAGAGAGAGAAAGTGTCTTGCTACTCAGTCCAGGCTAGCCTTGAAGTTGTGGTGATCCTCCTGCCTCAGCCTGCAGAGTGCTGGGATTTCAGGTGTGTGCCACCACCCCAGTCATTTTTAAATTTGGATGCAGGATCTTACAGAATCGCTCAGGCTGGGCTCCACGTCACCAACCTCCTGCTCTGTCCTCCCCTCCTGCTCTGTCCTCCCGTCCTGCTGGGATGACAAGTGCCACCTCCTCGAATCCGCTCCTCTCTCCTGAGCTGGATGAGCTGAATGGAGGATGCGGTGATGCTAGCAGGTGCGCGGGCAGTGAGCTATGCCCCCCGTCCGTAACCGATTGCTCATGGTTAATATCACCAGTTGCCATGGATTTACGCTGCAGAGGAGGTACTTGGGGCATTAAGGATGTATTAGTCTGATGTCTAATGATGGTGCGTCCTGAAGGACTTTCCTTTTTTATGTGCAGAGCCTTCAGGCCACAAATTGCAACCTTTCTGCCTCAGCCTGTCAAGTAGTTCGGGTCAGAGGCGTGCACCACACTGTACCCAGCCACCGAAATGTCTTTTTGAGACAGGGTCTTGCTATGCAGTTCAGGCTGGTTTGAACTCACTCTGTAGCCCAGGTTGGCCTTGAACTTGAGATATTCCTGCCTCAGCCTCCTGAGTGCTGGGATGACAGGTCTATGCTGCAACCCCCAACTCTTTTCCGTGAGATGGAGCCTTGCCGTGCTGCCAGGTGGGGCGTGAACTCATGGGCAGTTGTCTCGAGTCAGCCTCTTGCGTAGCTGGGACTCTGGGCATCACCACAGCTGGCCATGGCTTCCTTTTCTCTCTCTCTCTCTTTTTAAAGTAGTAAAGGTCAATACCAACTTACTAAGTTATTCACACTCTGTCAACAGGTTTACTAGAGTCAAGCTTAAGTTAAAAAAAAAACAAACTCAAAATCCAAACAAACTCAGCCATAAAGAAAGATAATCTTGGGACTTTTACAGGGCCGGACTCCTAAGGGAATAAGCCAGACGCACACGTGTAAGTAGCACACAGTCTCCCTGGTGCGAGGGACTGAAAGAGGAAGGAAGGCCCAGAACCCTGAATAGACGCCGTGAAGTGGGGAGAGACTTCAGAAGAGAAGGGGAACTGGGAGGGGGAACGGGGAAAGGAAGGAGAGTTTGTGCGGCTGGGGGTTTAGCCCAGCGGCCCAGCGCCTGCCCAGCAAGCTCAAGGTCCTGAGTTCGATCTCCAGTACTGACCAAAATAAAAACTAAAAAACCCCAAAACTTCATGTTAATATGGTTTGGAGAATTTCTTAAGCCTGTATCTTATATGCTAGTTAACTATTTTAAAGGTAACAAGACGCTATTATTTTGTTATGAAATTTTGTTTTACTTTTTTTCCATTAAAAAAGCAAAACTAGACTGGACCTAAACGTGCCAGGGTGACACAGGCCATGTCACCCTGTGACTTGGAGGCTGAGGCAGGAGGATCCCTGGAACCCAGAAGTGCAAGGCCAGCTCTGGAAGCATAGGGAGACCTTCTCTCAAAAGAGAACAGAAGGGCTGGAGGCTTAGCTCAGCGGCATAAGCGCCTGCCTTGCAAGCAGGCAGTCAGTCGTGAGTTCGATCCCCAGTACCAATAAAAAGGAAAAAGACAAAAAACAAAACAAAACAAAAAAAAAAAACAAAGCAGAAACAAAAAATGCAGCAGGGGCTACATAGGACTTGGGAAATTATTTTAGGAGTGAAAAACCAAAGAGGAGAATTTTGTCACTTGCAGACGTTTCTGTGCAGTTCAGGGGTTGCGGGTCGGGTGGGGAGGGAGGGGCTGAGTGTGCTGCTTCCCAGTGGGCTGGTCAGCACTGTGGATTTTTTTTGTGGCGTGTTGGGACCTTGCTCACATCTTGTAAGTGCTGTGCCACTGAGCTGAACCCCAGCCCGGTTTTTAAAATTTATTTATTTACTTTTGGCTTTTTTTTTTTATTCTGAGGCAGGCCAGGCTGGCCTTGAGATCACTTTGTAGCCCAAGCTGGCCTCGAAATCATGGTGACCCTCCTGCCTCAGTCTCCCGAGTGCTAGGAAGATAGGCGTGTGCCACCACACTTGGCACTTGAGATGGGGTCTTACTAAGAGATGGGGCTGGCCTCAAACTTTCAGTCCTCCTGTCTCAGCCTCCCTCATGGCTGGATGACAGCTATGTGTCACCAAGGCCCTGGGCCCGGAGCCAGCAGCGGGCAGGTCCCTGGGCTGCCACTGTGTGCCCCCCGGGCTGCGCCCCTCGCCCGCAGTCCTGAGCAGCCCCGCGAGGTGTCTCCATGCCTGGGTGCAGCCTGGCAGTGCCAGGGGACTTGGGAGAGGAAGGGGTGGCACGGGTGTGGCTGAGGCCTTTCGGGGTGACTGCCATTGGCTGTGATGGGGCTTTGGTCTCCATCCAAGCCAGGCCCAAGGCAGGGCGGCTCTGGTGACCCTGGGAGCTTCTGTCTGGGTGCTGGGCTGGAACCAGTTCCTCTGTGGCCCCAGCCGCTGCCCCCGGCGGCCCCTGGGAGCACAGGAAGGTGACGTTGATGCAGCCTGGGCAGGTCGGGTCTGGGGCCACCAGATGGCGCTGTAGCGATGCTCTGATTCACAAGTCCTCGGAGCCCCACTGTGGCAGGACCCTGCCTCCTGCAGAGCTGGGGACACCGCCTGCTTTTCCAGGCCCGTGACAGGAGAATGTGGAGAGACCACCGTTGCACCCTGCCTGGGCCTCCCTCTGCGGGGACAGGTGACAGTCCTACCCCGGGCATGGCCTGATTTTTTTTGAGACAGGGTCCACTCTGTAGCCCAGGTTGGCCTCGAACTCACTGGATCCTCCTGGCTCAGCCTCCCCAGTGCTGGGACCACAGGCGTGCACCACACATCCAGGCCTGTCTATAGTTTTTCTGGCTGGGAAAGGAACCCAAGCCCTGTGCACTTGAGGCAGCTGGTCCCAGCTGATCTGTGTTCCCAGTGTTTTACTGGTTTGCTCTTTGGTATCTTGGGCTGGACCTCGCTGTGTGCCCAGCCTGGCCTCGAGCTCGGAGGCTCAAGCAACTCCTGTGTTGGTAGCTGGGTTTCCAGTCAGGCCTGGCATCTCTTCCGGGCCGTTTTGGGGTCATTTTGTCCTTTTCTTGAAAGCGTTTAGCCTGCTCCTTAGAGGACGGGCAGGTTTGTCCACTGTGGTGGCCGCGGGACGTCTGGCCCACATGGATAGCAGGGGTCTTCCTGGCTGACCGCCAGGGCCAGAGCCTCATTTCCAGGCCCGGTTTTTGAGCTGCGAGGTGGGACACAGTGCTCAGCCATGGTGACAGAGCCGTGAGGGGGGGAACATTGAGTGTTCTCAGTACATCCAAGGGCACGGGCTGGGCGGGCCGCAGGGATTGAGCTGCTGGCAGAGCTCCTGCCGAGTTCACCTGGTGTGACCTCCTTGTGTATCCTCTGTGCTCACGGTGACCGACACAGCAGCACTGACAAACATGCCCTGAGGCGGGGACAGCATGCAGCAACCTGGGTCCCAGACGGCCCTGATTCTGATGGCGTCTTAGCGGCAGGACAGCCTGGCCCAGCCCGTGTCTGCCCCTTCTGTCCCCAGCACGGCTCCTCTGGGGCTGGCACACCCCTCCCACCACTGTGGAGAAATGAGGTCACAAGCAGAGGCCACCGGGGTTTTTTGGTCTCGGGCCTCAGCCGGCCCCAGCTGGGCAAGGAGCAGGTGCAGCCCACGTGGCCGCCTGGCCCAAGGTCCTCCCGGCTGCCCCGACATGTGGCATTCACAGGGGACTCAATATTTCTGGAAAGTAAAAGGGAGAAGGAGCCGCAGTGTGCTGAGCTGGAGTCCGCATTAAGGGTGGGGGTGAGCTGAGCCCCAGGGCTGGCGCAGCTGGTGTCCCCAAGGAGAGGCCTGTGCCCCTGTGAGGGCTGGTGGGCCTGCAGCTCTCTACATCTCAGCCTGGGGTCCCTGGCCATGTTGGGGGGCTGTGGCCGGCCCTGAACCTGCACACGAGGGCACTGGAGAGCAGTCACTTCACACCAGGTGACCCGGGCGCTCTGTCCTTGGAGCCTGGCTGCTGCGTCTTTGAGGCGGCTGGTGCCTTTTGTCATTTTGGGCTGCAGCAGATGAGAGCAGAGAGGCCCGGAAGCCACTGCTGGCCACGGCTGCTCTGTCACCATTGGTGGTGGCAGCATACGACATGGAGTTCCAGCAGCCAGAGCCTGGGCGGCACCTCAGGCCTACGCCCACCCTTTGACACCAGCCCTCTTCAGCCCTGGACAGAGGCCCGGGGTCGTTCGCAGACGCCAGGTCCTGAGAGGAGACAAGGAGGCTGCTCGAGAGGTCCCTGCTCTGGGTGCACTGGGCCTGCACTGTCCCCCGGGGAGCAGCTCACAGGTGTAAACCTTGGCTCCGCTGGGGCCAGGTTGGAAACCTGCAGCTCCTGCCCTTCTGTCCCCACCTGGACCATCGTGGTCTCCCCTGCCAGCCACCATGTCCACACCCTCCCCATGCATCCCCCTTCTGTGAGCGCTGGCCTCCCCCGCACAACTTGGCCTCCCTGGGGCCACTTGAGTCTGGCCCTGTCCTTCCTCTGTTTGGTGACCTGCCATGTCTCCTGTCCCCCCATAACAGCCAAAGTCCTAGCCAGACCTGCAGTTATAGCTCCTAGAAGGCTGAGGCAGGAGGGTCACAAGTTTGAGCCCCACCTGGGCAACTC